CAAGGCAATGTCAAACAGCAATGACTATAAAGCATCTCGTTATCAGACCTTTTGAATACAGAAATTGCATCAAGCATTTATACTCGTAATTGCAACATTATTCAAATAAAATATCAACTAAGACTCTCAGCTTTAAACCGGTAACAGAGTAATGGAGTCATTTGTCTGAAATAACATCTTAGTTCGCTTCAGAATAACCTACGTAAAGTGTAGCCGTCACTCAAGAGGATAGCGCGAGGCAGAATACAGAAAACCGGAGTAAATGTTAATACATTCGAGAAGAAATCGGAGCAGGCACTTCAGAAGTATCAGGTGAAGTGTTTACCACAATTAGGGAACAAAAAGTGGATAATAAATCCAAAAATTTATGAACATATAACACAATAAATTGGCAATAGGCGGTTTAAAGTAAAGTGCAGAATAGAAATGTAAAATACAGAGAATTAATTTTAAACTGGGGCGTTAGGTTAAGGCATAATTTAAAGACATTTACGACTATAGATAAGAGATTATTTAGAGAAGTAAATTAAGTTAAAAAGCATATATATCCTACATATAAAAAATATAGCACAGAACGTGGGTAATCATACGAAAGAATAATTACCCACCCTCTGAAACTTGCTTAAATGACACAAGAAATAAACACATATCAAATATTATAAAGTGCAGGCGTGTGCAGTTGGAAAACGTAGCACTGTATCGTAATGTTAAAAGCCAGTTGAACGCTTCTCCACTCCCAAACTCGGACATATTGAATTCGTTTTAAACAGTTACATATAGCCTTACAATCTGTAGCTTCTCCTCATCGCCTAGTGAGAGAACGGAAATAAATAAAATGGCTTTAAACCTAAGTTAATGAGCCACAAGTCACTCTTGATGTTGCAATTCACTTGGGCAGAGTCCAAGAGAAGAATGGAAATGTGTACAGAAACCCGGATTACATAAATTAAAACATTTCCAACAATAAATTCATCAAATTACCAACATTTGTTCTGCTGGTCCAATATGATCTCGCGAAATGTGTCTCAGGCCATGTTAATGGAATCCTCATCAAAAGAAAAGTACCAGTGTCAGACTCGTAGAATAAGTGATGTTGTCTTACGGCGTCTTTCACTGAATAATACTTGTCACACATAATGTTGTGCCCTTGGTATAACATAATTTATCATTACAACATCCCCGGCTGACACCTGTACCCAAAATAATTTTATTTACAATTGAACAGCGCAAACAAATGAATATGGAGTACTTATTCGCGTGTGCATTATACACACGCCATGCAATAACGCCGTCTGGTATATGTGTTTCCATTAATATCTGATACATTTATTGCGACGAAAATCAGTTAAAATGCAAAGATATTTTGTGAGTATAACCCATTTCTTTCACGGAAACAAGTGTAAGAGTAAGAAGAACTGACAACCAGCTAGCAAATAACATTTTCCTGGAAATTTTAGTACCATTTTACTACAGTACAGTACTTCTCATAATCCCCTTCCTCCATTATCCTCTTTGCGGTCAACGAATTTAAATATTTCCCTACCTTAACTATCGCCTCGCTCCCGCTTCGCCCCATTACCATCGCCCCTACAGTCATGGTGCTGTGTATGAATATACAGCAATTATAACGGCAACTGTGTCAAGTATATAACAGAAATATTGTAAATCTGGAAAATGTATCCCAGTAAAATTACACTAAGCTTTTCATAGCATCACTTCTACAAGTTCTTACGCCTTCTTAACACTATGCATATGCCATTAGTTTTGTAGCTGGTGAATTGAGTAAGAAATATCCCAGCGTTCATCAACAGACGTCAATTACATTAGACAAAATTGTAAAATGCCCCATATTATAGGCTGTATCTCTCAAAGGATATTAATTTCATGTTATATTCAGTATATTTACAGAGTATAAAATTACTTGAAATTTTGAAAACCCAGGACGACATTTAAAAAGACCGGATTACTGAGGTGGACACAAGACTAACTCCTTGACTACTAGATTATGATAATGATAATGATAATGATACTTTAAACTGCTCGAAGATACACGATATTAAAATAACTGTTAAGTATAGACGCATGAACATCGAGACAATTTATAACCAATTAATTTCTACACATTTACAACAGCCTATAAGTTACTAGTACTGAACGATTTAACAACCGCGGACTAATTTTCTGGGCTTCAGCATCGTGGGTGGGCTTTGCTTCTCCAGAAACAAGACGTCTCCTGGCGCCTTGAAGCGAGGTCTCAAGACGCTGCGTGGAGCCGTCACCACTCTCAATCAATCTTGAGGAAAATGTCATGGCCGAGCACTGTTGTAACTCGTTTCCGAATGCTGCAAGTGACATGTTGGAATCGTTATTCCCATCTAACCGCCTACGATAGCAAAAACAACCGAGTATCTATAATTTGGACACCGGAAGTGTCTGCTCTGACTCTCGACTCGGGTATCTCTCATCATCGTTGTGATTCGTCGTGGTTTTCTCAATCCTCCATGGAAATTGTGCCACAACCGCTTCCTTCCACGCTGTTTCCAATTCATCACCCGCAGTTATTCCATAATTCGATGTTGTATAACCAACGCATATGAAAAAATCATTAATAATTAAAAAAATATAATAGAACTGTAAATCATGACAGGAAACATGGGGACTGCCAAAGAAATGAGGAGGGTTCACGACGAAAGTGTGTTGTCAACACGGTTAGTCTGACTTGTCTGCCAACGTTACTCTGAAGATCAAAGAACCTAATGAACCACTCCACTGAAGTTCATTCCACCACTACAGCATACAACTCCCTGGAATCAGGAACTGGCTGCATATTGTTTCGTTGATGGTTTATCAATTAATTAATACTTATTTATATTAAACTAAACCACACTAAACTGAACTAAATTAAATTAAAACTAAATAAATCTAAGCACCAGTAAAGTAAATTAAACTAAACTACCTTTACTCTAAGATCAGCAAAACTCTAGGTCACAAATGCGTCGGTTATGTACCATCGAATGGTAGAATGATAAATTTGAGAGCTGCGGGGAAAGAATTTCCTTTCAGATTTTAAGGTTCTGTCTCTATTTTCACATATAGGAACTGATTAGAACGGGAAAATCCCCATCACAAAATCCAGGGTCCGGGCTGAGATTTAAATATGGTCCCTAGTGGATGTGAGTCATAAGCTTTAATCACCACACTCGCTTTGCCCAATTCTGAATTGGCATCAGAACCGTAGACTTAAAACACGTGCCTATATTTATCATAAATACAGTGGAAGGATCCACTACGCAAAGTATAATTTATCAAATATAATAATTTCAATACATCAGAGTTCACACTGCGATATTGAACTCCATAAAACACATAAAATGTCATCACAATGAAAGAAGCGTACATGCATATCTATTAAGACTCACTCAGACATAGCAGATATATTATATACCATGTCAAGAAGTAACTTATCACACTTAAGCTGCAAAGCGTTTCTCACTCTCTCTCTCTGCAGGAAGAGAAACCAGAGGAAACAAAAAATCACCGAAAGAATAGATGACCAACGTCAACCCTCCCCTGTAAAAACACGAAGCCGAACATGGTGACTGCTGGGTTTAGAATTATCTGGTGACGACACTCGTCATTAAATAGGCAGATATAAGCGTCGTCTGTTTAATTAATCATCACAGTAAACCTAAGATATTTCTGCGTTCTTATCCAAATACGGAAAGGCAAAAAGGAGAAGCCATTTTTAGGTCTACTTATATGTAAAATGTAACCAGTCACTTCTTTGTATCTGTAAAATTAATTACGACTAAAACTCGTGAATCGATTGACGACGAATGAGGTTACTTGGCTGTCTATGAAATGCATGATTTTTTAGTCTACATCAAACTGAAGATGCCTGAAGAATACAGTATCTAGAATACATAGACAAATGCAGGTTTCATTCGTGAAGAGTGGCCGGTTTGAAAAACGAAAAAGATCACAAACGTAACTTAGAAACAAAGTAATTATTTTGTATTCTAAGTAACTCTAGATAAATGTCAACATATAAAAAGCAGGAAATGGGATATGCATTTTAAATTACTTGTAATATTCATTTTAATATTTACATTTCCAGAACAAGTTTTGTCAAACCAGACGCCCCATTCTAAGCAGCATTAAATCACAGGTGTCTCAACATTATGAACAAACAATTATGTATCTTAGGTTTTCAATCATGGACCAAGAGAAAATATGGGAAATTAATGTTAGCACATTGGTTAACCACTTCGTCATTTATAATTATGTTTCAAGCCATATTACGTGTCTCTTTCCGTAACTTCTGACGTGCTGACGGTATAAATTAGCTATCTGAATGCCCATAACAAAGTCTACAGAACAGAAATAGTTCGTATCCTACAAGAAGTCACAAGAAATCTCTGAGAAGTATACAGGTGTTCACTTACATCACTTCACAGCGCTATATAAAGTGGTAAACACATGAAGAAGTTAAATTTCTAGCTCTTTAACGAAATCTCCTGAAACTTCGTTCTTTTGTGTGAGATTTCAGAATCTCACGGCGGCGATATATGGCCGTCTTTTGGGTTGTTGCGCCGTGTACGTCCTCTTAATAGAGGCAGTAAGCACTTCTGAAACGTCGGTAAACTTCTGCCAGACTAAACAACGCAGCAACACAAAAACAATCTTTTTAAGTTGTCGTGGTCTAATCAACTTTCAAACGTTTAGAGTAACCACGCGGTCACTTGCATCGTGGGTTCGAATTCCACTCGTGGCGTGGATGTCCGTCTGTGTCTTTCTGTGTTGAGGGAGCTGCCACCCATCCCTTCCAAGGTGTCCCACAGAAGTCGAAAAAGTTTCTAAAAGCTGACACGCACGTCGAATTCAGTCAAATTAGAAAGGACGGAGGCGACAGTACACGCAAAGATGAAGATACGATATGTGTGTGTTCTCTGTACATTCTTAGAAGAAGATTTTTTAGATTCACGAGTTAGTTTACTCACTGAGATGGTTGGTTGGTGTGGCGCGCCGATCGTAGTCTTTTTTCAGTAACCCGTCAACAATCTGAAGTTGGTCCAGCTTTGCTCCTTGTCTGAAAACACAAAACCAAGTTGATATTAAAGACTGAGTTTCCGATCTCTGCATGTACGTTTAAATGTATGAGATAAGTTTCTGAAAACAATGAATATTAAACTAGAAAACTGTCCGTCAAGAATGACGGGAAAGTGTAAAGTTATACTTAAAAATTAATTTTTATTTTAAACGTTTAACACAGCAATATACACGAATAAAAATAATCAATTATCTTTATTTAATTTACCAAAGCTTCAAAGCTTTAACGTGTAATAATCTATTTTGTTTCGTAACAAAAAAATTAATAGCATTTTCTAAAAATATAATAAATTTAATATACTGCAATCTCAAATATAATGTATTATATCGGGATTATAATAAATATGCTGTAGTAATGTACATAATGGGTCTCCCTTAATAGCATTACAATGGCAAAGGTTATCTCATAAAGCTCAATATCCCTTAACAGCAAATGAACACCGTACCATTGCACCGGTAATAAAACACCTATCCATAAATATTATCACGTAAGGCCCAAAATCCTCTAACAGCGAATAATCACCAACTAACCAACTAATACTGCTTTTTATATGGATAGATATTATCTTACAGATGATCTAAAACGTATGTATGTAAATCACATTTGAACGTTAGTCAAAATACATAAGCAGACTACATACAATAACCCAAGTCCATTAAAACATGTTAGGTCTTCCTATACAAGGCACTGTAAATTTATATCCGTGGATAACAGTTAATACTTGTTAGATAGAGCACAGTCGTCTAGACAAGATTCTGAGTTTTCTTGTGCAATACAGCCCGTAGGCTTACCTATAAGAAGTATGATGGTTACTGGAAGTACATAAATTTTTAACTAAAATTTTCAATATAGAAAAAAGATTTGAATATTGCTGTCTTCTGGATTGTTTCAGAGGTCATGCTGCCTCCATCATCAGGGCGATTATGCAGGCAGGAAGGATCTCTGAAACCAGGGTAGACATCTACCAGACTACACGGCGCAACAATCCAGAAGGCAGCCGTGAAAACCTCAAATTCTACAAAAATATTTGGGTTTAATTTTTTACCGATCCTACTAATACAGCAATACCTCAGAATGATTCTGTTAATAACCTTTTACACTCTACTTAATGTGAATTATTTACAAGAATAATTATATTAGTTTAATAATCCACCGTGTCTAGGTAACGTTGCTTTTTATAATTTTCGGGAATTATTACAAATTCCGTAGTGAATGGTCTAATGGACATTAAAAATAAATCGCTGTAAGATTGTTTTACGCTGGTGAGCATTTAATTACAATCACAATTCAGTTATTCATGACATAATCTAGTGATCATGAAGTGTAAATTATAAAGCACAGGTAGCCAGGTTACAGAAGCAAAGACTGTTTATAAATTTTAATAGCTCTTTTCTAGCAAAGAAAATCGAACTACGGCCAGATTTACATTTTATAATAACCAGTGCTAATTTAACTGGATGCAGCTTGACGCTTCGGGGTTAACAGTTCGCAATTTCATGGAATATATTGTTATTCATGCAACTCCGAGGAGAAAGATGGGAGACACAAAAAGACATCGCTTCATAACGTACAAGATCATTCCGACAGGGCAGGAAGAATCGAAAATCTCAGGTTCTCCAATGCGTGAATAAATTAGAATGAATAATAATGTATAATCCATAGCTTTGGATGTGTTCAACAGAACAAGACGAATTCGAACTGAATGCACACACAAGCTTTTAGTCGGTTACGTTTTTGTTAACTCATCTGGCGTAAAATTAAGTGTCGCATGAAAACAGAACTTCTACTAGACGCTAGAAAGCAAGTCGTATATCGCCAGAATGTTAGACAAAGTTTTTGGTATAAACATTATTATTACATTATTTAAAAATAAAGCTAATTTAAAATATTTTCGGAATGGAAGTAACATAAAAATTGCATACACAAAGAATTTAAGTGCAAACTGAATTCGGGGAAAGTTTGTTACTATTTAATTCTTATAAACTTTTGTCCTTCTATATTATATCTGAAAAAGTAAACATGTAAATATAACTAGTAAGTAAGTAGATGGCTTACGGAACCCGAAGGTTCATCTCCGAACTAACCAAAGAACTCCAGATTGAGTCTAGATTAAATTACCACGAAATAAGTAATTAACTAAACGAACCAGTAGATCCATAACGTACCTAACAAAGCTACTAATCTGAAGTCTAGACTGTGATTCGACCAGCAAACAATGGTTTATTTAAACACAGTGATGGGAAGAGAAATCAGATGAGCTGCTAGAAGCGACCCCAAGTGACTGCCAGTTAATTATCGAATTGAACTTCCTCCCAATCCCTCTCTTTATCCACATCAGGTTTGGTAAATTATGAATTCTTCATTCTGCCCTTTATTTATTCTCTTATTCAGTAATTTAATTTAAACTAAAAATAATATCACAAAGGAGATATTCTTATATGAAGATACTGTCACGTCATTCGAAATTCGTCCCATTATATAGTACAATAACATATAAACGGAGGATTTTGCTTACTTATATGTAGGCCCAATGATTAATAATACCCAGTAATGATTTGTACGAACATCATCATATAGAATGATTAATGTGTTAATTTATTGACATACAGGAATACGGACATCATGAAGGCTCAGGACCACAAACAAGAACAAATAAATGATAAACGTTTTGTTAATACTTCCCTAGTACAGGGCTGTATCACAGTAGATCTGTATAACTATTGGAACGTTTCTCCGAGAATTTTGTTGTATAAACGAGGAATATTTACGTGTTAAAAGTTACTTTTGTACTTTAGTGGGCTAACTAGAAGAACTAAAGTGACAGTCTATAAACGAGACTAATTTATTATATTGAATAATTACGTTATTTTGAGAATTAACTGACTGGAGACGCAACAATTCGAAACTAAATGTCATCAAATTATTGTTATTGTTATTATTATTATTTCTATATATAAAGACCACTAAAAAGCAGTCATTGGATGGAGCTCAAACCGGAGCTGTGTATATCAATGCTGTTTCCTCCAGCACCTGCTTAAAGAGAAATTTATTCTTCAACAACTCCACTTTGATCAAGATTATTTTAATCAAGCATTATTATGTAAAGTTACAATTGAATCGCATCTCCTTCTTGGTCTTTCAAGTTAACGTTTCCCAAGAAATGTCCATGCCAGAATTCTGTTTCTATTCCAATATATCTCCCACTGCAAACGGAAACTACCTTGCTGAATACTGGTGAGTCTGACGTTCTGTACCCTGCCGTGAACTCTCTCCGTTCACGAAGAGTTCCTCTTCTCCGCAAGATTCTCCTGACAACGCCCTGGTGCTCCACATTCATCTCACTTACAGCAGTGAAGTTAACAATGAAACACTATGCATATTTCTCACAGCATTCTAATTGTAACGAAATGGGATCGGTGGTAATGCAAACGCATGTTCCAAGCAGCTGCATGAATTTCAGGTGTTAATCTTCGGCAGACTGGATATTCTAAAAAAAAATGCCACTACTAATAAGTCTGAATTCTGTACTAGAAAGTAGAAAGACAACCAACTTTAAATTCTTATTTGAATTGCAGATGTGCAGAAAATAAACGCACTGGCTTAATTGGAGGCCATAGTTGTCCCCTGAAAATATGTTTGATAGAATTTCGATTATATCTGGTATTGAAGGTCGACACTAATAATCGACCGAAGAAATTTATTTTTTCATATTACTGATCCAAGACAACGCCTCTTGTAGCCTAGAGTTTTTAGCGGCGGTTAAGATATCGATGTAAGGCTTCTAAGCCGAAACGCCGTGGGGATTTCTAGGTAGGCAGATAACAACGTTTTGGAGAAACATTGACACCTACCTACAATTCCACCAGGGCTGAAGATGGAAACAGTACGCTTCTCCGAAATGTTGGTATCTACCCACATGTCCACATCGCGTTACAACTGAGAATATCAACATCAACACCTTCACCGCAATGAAAACCTCAAATCCCTAACAAGCGCGTAATTTGGGTGGAATTTGAACTGCTGAACGCTGAAGAAGACGTTTGTATTTACGTCCTAAATAATATTAATGAAAATAATGTGAATAACAAACAAGAAAATACGGCAACACCGAACTGCCTCACAGGAACAGACACCAATAACGTAACACTATTAATTTGATTGCATCAAAATTAATATGCCAGCTAGAAGAGAAGTCAATAAGAAAAATATCCACTTCATGTACTATTAAATGTTTCCAGTTTGCATTTTATCCACTTTTAGTGATCTTTAATCCTGAAGATCCAGTGAAACATGTTTCTTGAAGACACGTAAGACTGTAGAAATTACTACCGGTATTGGATTTATTTTATAGTCTCTCAGCTGTAGGAATTCGGGTTGGCCCGAAGGTAGTATTTCTGTTCATCCGGTATGACTAACGAATTAGGTCGTGAGCTTTAATTAATAATAATGCACGGCGCCATGACGGCACAGATTAGCGGAGGCGGAGACGACGAGGTGTGCCGTCAGGCGGCCGGTGTTGTCAGCGTCCACAGGTACCGTGTGCGAAGCGCGTGCAAGTTAATTTCCAACACGAATGCTATGGAAAGAATGTCCTGATAGAAAAACAAATAAGAGACATCAGACACACAAACAAATAAATTAGAAGTACAAATTATGGGACACCTACAAAAGTTTTAATTACATAACCTGAATCACAGTCATTGATGAACCACATAAACATGCATTAAACATATTTCGTGTGAGGCATTATATATTTTACATCAGCATCTTTCGAATGATGTATGATGTTCCTAGGATGGCGGTATTTTAAGTTCCCTAATGTCATGTTCGCCCGGGATGTTGGACAAATATTTTTTGAGTGACTTGGAGACAGTTCCAGTTGCTCCTATAATTATTGGAATTACTTTTATTATTGTTATTGTTCCATCTATTCACCAATTTATAGGGTATTTACTTCTGTGTACCCGAGACATACTTTT